CCCCAAAACCCCAAAACCCCAAAACCCCATCTAGTAGATTTTCTATAATATAAAAATTAAGAGTTATTTTAAATTTAATAATTAATCTTATCCTATTAATATTGCTAAATTCTCAACATAAGCAATAGAATTTTCCTCTATCATTTGCTTTAAAATTTCTTACCTCCTGAAAATTACTTCATATTATCTTGACCTTCCCAGTCTCTTCTTTAAATATCAAGATTGCATAACTCAGGGTCATATTAGCCTTTTTCATTATAGCAACTTGGATCCTCAGTTCTTTAACTTTAATCTATATTTTATCCTGTTTGTATAGTCTTTGAAAACTTATTGTATTCTCTATTAATAATATCATGAATCATGTCATCCTACTATTACTTCTCAAGTATTCTGATGATCTCTTCGTGTTGAAAATCATCCCTTTTATTTTCAAGATACATTCTGTATTGCATCTAGTGGATCTTATATAAAAGAGCTAGACATATTAGCTTCATCAGTTTTTGGCCTTCCTTTATCATTGTGTTACAGTAATTCATTATGTTCTTTTTCTAGCTCTAAAGTAGATTTAGTTATCTATTTATTTGAAGTTGCATTTGAGAATCGAGAAAAAGCTCCGGCTCCACCTATAAATTTCTATACTACTACTCACTAAATTATTTCCTGTTTTCATTTAGGACATTTTTGCCTTCTTCCTCAGGATTCTTTAATTTCATACTATCTTACCAGACTTATTATTCCTAATCTATTTATTTTTAAGAACTATATTCCTTTTAGTCAAGATCTCTTTACTTCTCCAACTTTTAAGTTAATTCTTCTCTGTATTTATCTTATTCGTCTTAAATTTTCTATTACTCTGCAAGCTTTACCTTGCTGAATTGAGATTCGACCTCATTTTCTTGTTAGTCTGATTCTTCCTTGAAGAACTAACTTTTCTCAGGTGGAGGAGAAGGGTGCAGATGAGTTGGTACATCAGATAGCTAAGCTGAAGTATCATAAGCATATTCAAATGTCGGTATATTACTTTCAAGTTACTCTAGTTCCTTTTCTGCTTCTTATTTTGAAAGGCTATCTTTTCTCTCTTTTTGAGCCTCTTGATCTTCAATTGAAACACCAATATTCATATTTCTTTATAAAAGCTCCAAGTTCTCTTAATCCCTCTACTCTTGCTTATCCAATTTCTAGTTAATTTATCTTATGTATTCTTATTCCTACTTTTACTCTTCTTTCTTAGAATCATTTGATTCCTTGTTTTAATTTGATTCGGTTAGAGCTTAGTCAATCTCTTTACTTGTTAAAAGCTACTATCTTTCAAGAGGTCTCTCTTTTGATTCCTTATTTTATTCTTTTTTAATTTGCTGCTCAATTGCTTCCTTAAGAGATTCCTAAATCTAATTCTTTTAACTCTGTTTACTGTAAATCTCCTCTTCTTCCTTTTATAAAATAGGTTCATTCTCAGTTCCTTTTAATAGTTTTTCTGAGGTCAAAGCCATATCTTTTGATTCCTATTGCTAATGCTTTTATTTTTCCTCTTAATGTAATTCTTATTCACGCTACTTGCTTAGTTTTTTTGCCTTTTACTCTCTTTTCTTTTGTGATCGAGACTTTCCTGGTTTTTCGTCTTTAAATTCTTCCTTACCAATACTTTTATCTTTTAATTTCTCATGTATATCTTCTTACTTTTGACCTCCTTATTTTTGGGTCTCTGTTTGCTTAAAGAATAGAGAACCTTCTACTTATTTTACTTTAGTAGTATCTAATGGTATATCCTCAGGATTTTATTAGCCTTTTTATTAGTTGCTATGTTCCTCTTTGAACTATGGTTCATTGCTAGGAAAATGTTATGGCTTCTTGAATAGAGCCTTACTCTTATTTGATTTCTATTTCTGTTAGGCTGACATTGTGTCTTAGAATAACTTAGTACCTTGATATAATTTAGTTTAAATTAATATTAATTGTTATTTTAATAAGTGCTTGAAGCCAAATTTAAAAGTTGTTGTATATTAATAAATGTGATCAAATAGTTAATTCAGACTTAATAAATACGTAGTTAAAATTATTTGTTAATTGAATGTAGGCTATAATACAACATAGTTAGATTTTTCATCTGAGTCAGATCTTGGAAATTGAATACTTTGTTTGAGTCAAAATTCATTTGCCTGACTTGCTATTGCCAAAACTTATATCATAATTTTGCGATAATGTTAGTAAATGGGACGCTAATTCATTCATTAAATACACAGGAATCAACAGTAGCAGCTTTACTTCTTTGAACATCTCTTCCTCCTGGTATGTTTTTTGGATTCTCTTCAATTACTGGTTTTTTAGGTTCTCTTTTGTCAGGAGTATCGTAAACACCCTAGGTCGGACCCTATCTTACCTTTTCAGGGTTTTGAACTTAGGGTGGGATTTCCTTTTTCTGCCCCAAAGGATCAGGAATTGTTCCTGGGACTGGCTCACGAGCTTGATCAATAGCATCACTCATTCCAACTTTGAAGGATGGTTCCGAGTATGGTTAATAAATTTTCTACTGAGTCCTCTAAAAAGGTTCACGGTTTTATTCTCCAGTGATGTCCTTTTGATCAAAGTTGGTACCGAATAATTGTAGCCTAAGGTAAATATTTGAGGTCATCGCTCTGATGGCCTTCAAATGAATTTATTTTTGAATCATGATCTATTGTTTATAAAAGTTAAATTTAGATTATTTTTCTCTTTTTGCAAATTTTAAGTAAAGATTTCATATTCGGGGTTTTGGGGTTTTGGGGTTTTGGGGTTTTGGGG